ATATGATGTGTAGTACTTGCCTGTTGACTTCTTAAAACATCGCGGGATGCTTTTTCCATATCCACTTTCCCCTTCTGGATGGGTAGAACCGAGGTGACCCAGTGAGACTGTGAAAGTGACGACAAGGTCTGGGGATATGGGAAAACAGCTCTTTTGTAGGAACATGAGTCCCTGAGTGATCATGTAGAGTGGAGTTGTCTGCCAGCCTGGAATGCTCACTTCATGCTTTTATATACGATAGAAATTAATTTCTGTGTTTTTTAACGCCACTGAATGATGTTAGGCCTTTGGGCTACAGTGATCTAACCTTATCTTAACGAACACAGGCACTTTACCTTAACGGAGACGAAGTCACCTGGTCACTGAGACACTGCATTGAAGGCATGAAGGTGAAGCAACCTGTCTACCATTTCCCTCACAGATCTTAGAAAAGGACACTCTCAAGCCACAACATCCAACACTCGATTAATTGTATTTACAAGACAGAGTTTCACATGCTTCTTCCACTCCATTTTCTACCTTCACCTTCACCATGTACCTACCTACTCAAAAATAAAAATAAAAATAAAAACCTACTCACGAATAAAGTTCACCTGAGGTGTTAATGCCAGTCCCAAATAGCAATTTTCTTACAACGTTAGTGGACATAATAGGAAAATCTGAGGATTCCACTCTCTAAGCAAAGGTAGGATCAGGGGTAGTGTTCAGGTAGGTTAGTGTTCAGATACTGGGACACTCTTGGATCACAATCACAGACCGTTGAGAAGGGTGTCTCATGAAGCCCATCACGGACACAAAAGGGACAGGACTGAATGTTCTTCATGCCACACCCTATTATTTTCTTCTTTTTTTTAAAATTATACTTTAAGTTCTAGGGTACATGTGCACAACGTGCAGGTTTGTTACATAGGTATACATGTGCCATGTTGGTTTGCTGCACTCATTAACTCGTCATTTACATTAGGTATTTCTCCTAATGCTATCCCTCCCCCTGCCCCTCACCCCACGACAGGCCCTGGTGTGTGATGTTCCCCGCCCTGTGTTCAAGTGTTCTCATTGTTCAATTCCCACCTATGAGTGAGAACATGCAGTGTTTGGTTTTCTGTCCTTGTGATAGTTTGCTGAGAATGATGGTTTCCAGCTGTAAAGGACATGAATTCATCCTTTTTTATGGCTGCATAGTATTCCATGGTGTATATGTGCCACATTTTCTTAATCCAGTCTATCATTGATGGACATTTGGGTTGGTTCCAAGTCTTTGCTATTGTGAATGGTGCCACAATAAACATACGTGTACATGTGTCTTTATAGTAGCATGATTTATAATCTTTTGGGTATATACCCAGTAATGGGATTGCTGGGTCAAATGGTATTTCTAGTTCTAGATCCTTGAGGAATCACCACACTATCTTCCACAACGGTTGAACAGTGTAAAAGCTTTCCTTTTTCTCCACATACTCTCCAGCATCTGTTGTTTCCTGACTTTTTAATGATCGCCATTCTAACTGTTGTGAGATGGTATCTCATTGTGGTTTTGATTTGCATTCCTCTGCTGGCCAGTGATTGATGAGGATTTTTTCATGTGTCTCTTGGCTGCATAAATGTCTTATTTTGAGAGTGTCTTTTTGTATCCTTTACCCACTTTTTGATGGGGTTTTTTTTTCTTCTTCTTCTAAATTTGTTTAAGTTCTTTGTAGATTCTGGATATGATATTAGCCTTTTGTCAGTTGGGTAGATTGCAAAAATTTTCTCCCATTCTGTAGGCTGCCTGTTCACTCTGATGGTAGTTTCTTTTGCTATGCAGAAGCTCTTTAGTTTAATTAGATTCCACTTGTCAATTTTGACTTTTGTTGCCATTGCTTTTGGTGTTTTAGTCATGAAGTCTTTGCCCATGCCTATGTCCTGAATGGTATTGCCTACGTTTTCTTCTAGGGTTTTATGGTATTTTCTTAAATAGAATAATTATTATCAATTTAAAATAAATTTGTGGCAGGCTGCTATATATTTACCAAAATGATTTCTTAGCCTCCTCATCATAGTTCAATTATATTTTTGCAGCCTTTATCTCAGATGTGTCCACAAACCAAGTTTAGGCTGATGGAAAGTAAGAAGTGATATATGTCATTTTTGGACAAAGATTTAAGAAGTAGGTATATCTTCCCTGTGCTCCCTTTATACTTTAGCTGAATGAATAGAGAGAATGCTGAAGATCCAGAAGGGGATGCAGCCACAAGATGGAAGGAACTCATCCACCCATATGAATAATCATAAGGAAAACCATCTGCCAACCAGGAACATCTGACTGGGCTCTATCAAACACCAGGTTGTGATGTTTGTGTATTGTAGCAGCTAACTTTACTCATCCTAATACAGGGTTTTTCTGGAAAACATAGCAAGGATTAATATTCTGCAAATAGGGAGGAAAAAACACTGTACCATTCATCACGTTACTAAGGCATTTAGACAGACTTATATACAGTAAAAACTCCCCTTTCAGATGCATATCTTAGGTTCCAAGGAAGGGTTAAAATGCTGTACCTTTTTTCATTTAATTTTTTAAAAAATTTTTGTGGGTACATAGTAGGTATATATATTTATGGGGTACATGAGATATTCTGCTACAGGCACACATTGCATTATAATCACATCATGGAAAACTGGGTATCCCCTCAAGCATTTATCCTTTGTGTTACAAACAATCCAATTATATTATTTTAGTTACTTTAAAAAGTACAGTTAAATTATTATTGACTATAGTCTCCATGTTGTGCTATCAAGTACTAGGTCTTATTCATTCTATTTGTGTGTGTACTTATTAACCATCCCCTCTCCCCTTCACCCCTCCACCCCCACCACACTATCCTTCCCAGCCTGTGGTAACCATCTTTCTATTCTCTACCTCCATGAATACAATTGTTTTCACTTTTGGATCTCACAAACAAGTGAGAACAACATGTGAAGTTTGTCTTTCTGCGCCTGGCTTATGTCACTTAACATGACTTCCAGTTCCATCCATGTTGTTGTAAATGACAGGATCTCATTCTTTTTTTTCTTTTTATGGCTGACTAGTACTTCATTGAGTATAAGGGCCACATTTTCTTTATTCATACATCTGCTGATGGACACTTAGGTTGCCTCCAAATCTTGGCTATTGTGAACAGTGCTAGAGCAAGCATAGGAGTGCAGATATCTCTTCAATATACTGATTTCCTTTCTTTTGAATATATACCTGACAATGAGATTGCTGGATCATACGGTAGCACTATTTTTGTTTGTGAGGAACCTCGAAACTTTTCTTCACAGTGGTTGTACTAATTTTATATCCCCATCATCAGTGTAGAAATGTTCCCTCTTCTCCACATCCTTCCCAGAATTTGTTGTTGCCCGGCTTTTGGATAAAAGCCATTTTAACTGGGGAGAGATGATATCTCATTGTAGTTTTGAGTTGCATTCCTATGATGAGCAATGATATTGAGCACCTCTTCATATGCCTGTTTGCCATTTGTAGGCCTTCTTTTGAGAAATGTTCATTCAACTTTTTGCCTATTTTTAAACAGTATTATTAGGTCTTTTTCCTACAAAGTAGTTTGAGCTGCTTATATATTCTGGTTATTAATCCCTTGTCAGATTGATAGTTTACAAATATTTTCTCCCATTCTGTGGGTTGTCTTTTCACTTTGATTGTTTCCTTTGCTGTGCAGAAGCTTTTTAACATGATGTGATCCCATTTGTCCATTTTTAATGCTTTGGTTGACTGTTCTTGTAGGATATTACTCAAGAAATCTCTTCTCAGTTTCATGTCTTGGAGAGTTCCCCAATGCTTTCTTTTAGTAGTTTCATAGTTCGAGGTCTTATATTCAAGTCTTTTTTTTGTATATGGGGAAAGATAAGGATCTAGTTTCATTATTCTGCATATGGATATCCAGCTTTCCCAGAACCATTTATTGAAGAGACTTTTCCCCAATCTTGGCAACTTTGTCAAAAATGAGTTCACTGTAAGTGTGTGGATTTGTTTTGGGGCTCTCTATTGTATCCTATTGGTCTATGTGTCTGTTTTTTATGCTAGTACTTGGCTTTTTTGGTTACTATAGATCTACAGCGTAATTTGAGGTCAGGTAATGTGATTCTTCCAGTTTTATTGTTTTTGCTCAGGATAACTTTGGCTATTCTGAGTCTTTTGTGATTCCACAAAAATTTTAGGATTATTTTTTCTATTTCTGTGAAGCATGTAATTGGTATTTTTATAGGGATTGCATTGAATCTGTAGATTGCTTTGGGTAGTGTGGGCATCTTAACAATATTGATTCTTCCAATCTATGAACATGGACTATTTTTCCATTTTTTGTGTCCTCTCCAATTCTTTGTTTTTTCTTTTTAGTAGCACTATTATTTTATTATATACTTTATAAAAAACAAATGCTCAAAGACATACACCGCCCCCTCCTCACCTCCCATGGCCACTAGGGAGGGAGCTCATACCTTTCCTAATGTAGATCTGGCCATCTTATAAAGTAGACCACATTATCTGTTTCCATATATATCCGTAGATACTTTTCTCCCCTCAAATATTTATATCTCAACTAAAAAAAAAAAAAAAAAGGAGATGCAAAGAGTATATAAAGATAAATGAGATTTTCTTGCTGTTGTTATAGCACAAACACCAGATGACTACCAGGGGAGTAACAGTGGACAAAACAAAAACACAAACCCCACCTTCAGCGAGGAATAAAAGGTCTGTTACTTGCCTCAAGTAGGTGAATCACCTGCTGTAACTGGCACCTCCCTGACATTCATGGGTTTGTAGGGACATGGGCCAGGTGATTGCTTCTACGTGTTTCCAGAAGGCATATGTCTCCTACATGCTTTCTTAGTAACTAAAGATGTACTACAAGAGAACTCAGTATTTGGATTCTGCCCAGAGGTATTAAATGCACAAGGAAAAATTAGTTATGTCCAAGTAGCAAGCAATAATAGTTTTAAACCAACATGGTTAAATGTTTGATTTGCAGAAATCAAAATGTTTATTCACATAATTTTAAACTAAAGTTGAAGATAATAAATCTTCCGTGGTAATGATTTAAGTGCAAGTGATGCTTGGCTCTCTTTCACATTCATTTCTTTTCTTCAGAGTGAAGGCATATCAGTTATTCTTGAACAAGTCAATACAGCTCTGCAAAAGGGAGACACTGTTCCTTGCATGTTTTATTTCCATTTCAGACATTTCAATTAGATTCTTTCTAAATGCTGCCACTTTCTTCCGTTTGAAATTTATCAGTTCTTCTTTTGCAGATTTGGAAAGCTATTCAAATTTCTGGCAGCACTCCTGCTGGTGTGCCTCAGCCAACTTGATGTCTTTGCTCTTTAAACTGGGCCTTATCCAGAGCTTTGTTTGAGTTCTCATAGTCAATGAGGGTTTTGGTGCATCTATATAAGAGATCCTTACTGCCTCGATGTTGAGCATGTAGAATCGGGGGGGCTGTGTTAGCTTTAAATCTTCATCTGATGAGATTCGACCCTCTACTTTCCTAAGTTTTTCAAATAGCTCAGCAACCTTCAACAGATACTTTTTGATGACTGTGGGCTCTTCTAAAGCCAGGCTATGTAAGCAGGCTGCAGTGTGAATATAGTCGTCGGCAACATTTTTATGAGATCTGGTCATTTTGTGAGATTTCACACAAGAATCTTTGATCCTATTGTAACAGTTAATAAGGAAGTTATTCTCTTGCTCAAAGAAGTCATCTACCTCCTTAACTCCAGTAAAAAGGACTGCATCAGCACTTTCACCACGCTTTTGAAGAAGCCACCAAACATCTCTTTAGTATTTTTCCACCTAACACTTAGATCCTGATAATATTCCAGGAAAACATGAAAGTTGCGATCTTTACTGAGAACAGGGTGAGAAGAAAGCCACTAAAGAAAGGCTTCATGGGAGGACACAGTCTTCTTAAAAACAGCGAGATACTCAGCTTGTAGTTTTTATTTCATCTTCGTAAATTCTTCTTTGGTCATAGACCCTTCACCTTCTCCCAGTTTCTGCATTTTATCTCAAGGACCATCGAAGTCAGGCTTCATAGGAGCAGGCGGAATCTGCAGCAGAGGCAGGAATTCATGAGCCTCTTGTCCCAGTAGCAATGTTTTCTAGTTGGTACCTCATTCTACTCTTGCTGGTCCACAGGAGACAACCACTCCACTCCTATAGGGCTACTTAAAAGTCAACTCCTGTTTTTTCTTAACCTTCCTTGTTTCTTCTGGCCATTTAAAAGGAGGGATCTTTCTGTATTCACTTTGATGGCAATCATTTGCCCAGTTTATCCATTACAGACAATCATTCAGAGCACAACAGTGTCTATACTGCTTCAATGTTGCCCTAAAACTAGTGTAATGAATGCTAAACACCAATGATTAGCCATCAAGATTATGAAGTCTCCAGTATTCCAAAGGATTTTTTCCCTAATCCCAAAGCATAATCAAGGACTCTAATTTTGAATGAACAGAACATATCCAAATATAAGCTTCAGTACTAATTTTGTTTAATTATTAAGAAATCGTCATTTGGACAGATTCTTCAGTCTGTGTGGCAGGACAAAAAGGATGGAAATCTCCTTTAAAATCAGCTAAGTCTCTGTTCCCGCAGCTAAGAATTAAGGATCAAGGGCTGAAAACTGCCTCCTTGGCCCCTTTTTGGTTTTTGGGAGACAGAGTCTCACTCCGTCACCCAGGCTGGAGTGAAGTGGTGCAACCTCGGCTCACTGCAACTTCTGCCTCCCAGGTTCAAGGGATTCTCCTGCCTCAGCCTCCCCAGTAGCTGGGACTACAGGTATGCGCTACCATGCCCGGCTAATTTTTTATATTTTTAGTAGAGACAATGTCTTATCATGTTGCCCAGGCAGGTCTTGAAATCCTGAGCTCAGGTAATCCACCCACCTCGGCCTCCCAAAGTTCTAGGATTACAGGCATGGCCTCCTTCAGCACTTTTGAGAAATCTTATCACATACTATTACCAATACTGCTGTTTCCTAGAAATCAATTCCACTGACATTGGGAAGAACATACCAGAGAAAAACCAAACCTAAAGGTAGATAAGACTAAAGTCATTATACTGTTTACACCACTTTACAGCATAAATAATGTAAGCCTGTATGCATTACCTCAAAGCTGTAATACTGTTCCTTCACATATTTTCCACTTAACCAACAGTTAGCAAATACTCTAGTAGGTAGAGGAAATCAAAATTTTCACAATCCATTACAAAAAGTAGACATAAATCTCTTTAAACTAAATGAATAACAAGGCAGAAAGAACTAGCTTATTTGATTTTCTAAAACACTCACAATAAGCCCAGCGTAGACCGTTCTTTCAAAAAGAGTGTTATGTAGTCACACACAGTCTTCTTGTTGCCTTGTAACAGAAAACTCTGGACTCTGAAATGTGGGCAGTGTGGTTTTTGTGTGCACCGTAAATTTGACCTTATCTCTTTCACTGAGCGCATCAGGTATGTCAATCTGAAGCGAGGGATCAACATTCACGTCCACAGATACAGATCTTGGCTTGCTACGGTCCTCCTCCTGCTGCTGCAGCAACTCAGGAACAGTGGCCATGGCGACACAGGACTCCAGCAGGGGCCGCCTGACCTTGCTCTGCTCCGGGAGGAGGCCACCGACTGCAGGGTGGCAACAGGGACTCAAAGCCAGGGACACTCTCCCAGCAAGTCACCTCTAGAGAAAGCCTCTTCAATTTCTTTTGTCAGTGTTTTATAGTTTTCATTGTGGAGATCTTTTGTTTCTTTAGTTAATTCCTAGTTGTTTGATTGTATTTGTAGCTATTGTAAATGGGATTACTTTCTTGATTTCTTTTTCAGATTGTTCACTGCTGGCATATAAAAATGCTACTGATTGAATATACATTCTTCTCAGCACCACATCGCACTTATTCCAAAATTGACCACGTAGTTGGAAGTAAAGCACTCCTCAGCAAATGTAAAAGAACAGAAATTATAACAAACTGTCTCTCAGACCACAATGCAATCAAACTAGAACTCAGGACTAAGAAACTCAATCAAAACTGCTCAACTACATGGAAACGGAACAATCTGCTCCTGAAGGACTACTGGGTACATAACGAAATGAAGGCAGAAATAAAGATGTTCTTTGAAACCAATGAGAACAAAGATACAACATACCAGAATCTCTGGGACACATTTAAAGCAATGTGTAGAGGGAAATTTATAGCACTAAATGCCCACAAGTGAAAGCATGAAAGATCTAAAATTGACACCCTAACATCACAATTAAAAGAACTACAGAAGCAAGAGCAAACACATTCAAAAGCTAGCAGAAGGCAAGAAATAACTAAGATCAGAGCAGAACTGAAGGAGATAGAGACACAAAAAACTCTTCAAAAAATCAATGAATCCAGGAGCTGGCTTTTTGAAAAGATCAACAAAATTGATAGACCGCTAGGAAGACTAATAAAGAAGAAAAGAGAGAAGAATCAAATAGACGCAATAAAAAATGATAAAGGGGATATCACCACCGACCCCACAGAAATACAAACTACCATCAGAGAATACTATAAACACCTCTACACAAATAAACTAGAAAACCTAGAAGTAATGGATAAATTCCTGGACACATACACTCTCCCAAGACTAAACCAGGAAGAAGTTGAATCCCTGAATAGGCCAATAGGCTCTGAAATTGAGGCAATAATTAACAGCCTACCAACCAAAAAAAGTCCAGGACCAGACGGATTCACAGCCAAATTCTACCAGAGGTACAAGGAGGAGCTGGTACCATTCCTTCTGAAACTATTCCAATCAATAGAAAAAGAGGGAATCCTTCCTAACTCATTTTATGAGGCCAAAATCATCCTGATACCAAAGCCTGGCAGAGACACAACAAAAAAAGATAATTTCAGACCAATATCCCTGATTAACATTGATGCAAAAATCCTCAATAAAATACTGGCAAACCGAATCCAGCAGCACATCAAAAGGCTTATCCACCATGATTAAGTAGGCTTCATCCCTGGGATGCAAGGCTGGTTCAACACACGCAAATTAATAAACGTAATCCAGCATATAAACAGAATCAAAGACAAAAACCACATGATTATCTCAATAGATGCAGAAAAGGCCTTTGACAAAATTCAACAGCCCTTCATGCTAAAAACTCTCAATAAATTCGGTATTGATGGAATATATCTCAAAATAATAAGAGCTATTTATGACAAACCCACAGCCAGTATCATACTGAATGGGCAAAAGCTGGAAGCATTCCCTTTGCAAACCAGAACAAAATAAGAATGCCCTCTCTCACCACTCCTATTCAACAGAGTATTGAAAGTTCTGGTCAGGGCAAGAGAAAGAAATAAAGTGTATTCAAATAGGAAGAGAGGAAGTCAAATTGTCTCAATTTGCAGATGACATGATTGTATATTTAGAAAACCCCATCATATCAGCCCAAAATCTCCTTAAGCTGATAAGCAACTTCAGCAAAGTCTCAGGATACAAAATCAATGTGCAAAAATCACAAGCATTCTTATACACCAAGAACAGACAGACAGCCAAATCATGAAAGAACTCCCATTCACAATTACTACAAAGAGAATAAAATACCTAGAAATACAACTTACAAGGGATGCGAAGGGCCTCTTCAAGGAGAACTACAAACCACCGCTCACGGAAATGAGAGAGGACACAAACAAATGGAAAAACATTCCATGCTTATGGATAGGAAGAATCAATATCGTGAAAATGGCCATACTGCCCCAAGTAATTTATAGATTCAATGCTATCCACATCAAGCTACCACTGACTTCCTTCACAGAATTAGAAAACACTACTTTAAATTTCATATGGAACCAAAAAAGAACCCGTATAGCGAAGACAATCCTAAGCAAAAAGAACAAAGCTGGAGGCATCATGCTACCTGACTTCAAACTATACTACAAGGCTACAGTAACCAAAACAGCGTGGTACTGGTACCAAAACAGATATACAGACCAATGGACAGAACAGAGGCCTCAGAAATAATGCCACATATCTACAACCATCTAATCTTTGATAGACGAAAATCTTAGAAACTTTGAGTTTGGCAAAGATTTCATAAATAAAACATAAAAAACATGGACAGAAACAAAATTTAAAGTATATAAAAAGAAAAAACTCTTGGTATTCAAAAGGCACCATTAAAAAATAAAAATTCAAGCCTCAAACAGGGAAAAATATTTGCAACATGTATGATAAAGCATTTCTATCCAGAATATATAAAAGTATTCTTTTAACTTAAAAAGAGGACAAACAATCCAATAACAAATGGGCAAATGATCTGAGTAAACACTTCACCAAGTAAGATGCACAGATTGCAAATAAGCTAATGAAAAGATGTTCAACATCGCTACTCATTAGGGAAATGCAAATTAAAACTGCAACGGGATAATACTATATACCCACTAAAATGACTAAAATTATAGAGTGACAATTCCAAGTGCTTGTGAGAATGCAGAACACCTGGAATTCTCAAATCATGCTGATATTGACTACAAAATGATATGGCCACTTTGGGAAACAATTTCTTACAAAGTTAGGCATTCACTTATCACATGATCCAGCAATGCCATTTTTAATTATTCATCCTAGATGAACAGATACAAAGGCTTCTACAAAAATGTACAGAAAAAAAAAAAACTAGAAGAGCCAATAGTTTCCAGGTTTATTTACAATAGTTAAAAACCACATTGAACACAAATATTCATTAACTGGTAAGTAGACAAACAAAATATGACATATTCAGGCACTGGAATACTACTCTGTACTAAAAAGAAACCAGCTACTGACACATGCAACAGCATAAACGAATCTCAGCAGCATTAACTGAAGTGAAAAGTAGCCAGACACAAAATGCTGCATACTGAATAATTTAATTTGCATGAAATTCTAGAACAGGTGAAACTACAGTGGTAGAAAGCAGGTTTCAGGTTGCCAAGGGACTGACTGCAGAGGCATGAGGAAACTTTCGAGAGGATAAAAATGTTCTGTTATATATCATCATTATGGTGATGCTTACATGACTATATACATTTGACCTACCTTGTTGAATTGTTCACTTAAAGTTGCTGGATTTTATTGCACATAGATGATACTTAAAGTTGAAAAAAATCTTCCCACAATCCCACCACATAAAGCAAACCACCATTAATATTATGACATCATTTTTTTCAGTTTTCATTTACATTTAATATTCAAAATCATGTTTTACTTGTATACTTAAAATTTTTTAAATACAAGCTTTGTATTACACATGCTTTGAAAGAGCAATTTATAATAGCTGATTATAATTTACCAAACTGTTCTATTGTTGGACATTTACATTGTTCACAAATTTTGCATATTATAAATAACTAAAGCTAGTTATTACACATGTGGTTTTTATTCTGGAAACTGGACCTTTTCTGAAGTCAAATTCTGCATAATATTTTGACTGAGCACTGGAATGCCTTCTAAGGGGCCTGCCTGCCACCAGTTGGCCTCCACTTTCACCTCTCCCTACACTGTTGCCAGAGTTACTTCCCAAATACAATTGATGATGTCTCTTCCCATATTATAACTCCAGATGGCTTTCTGTTGCTTACAGCATGAAGCCATGTTCTGTTGTGGCACAAGTGGCCTGTGATAAGCAGCTCTCAGCTTTCAATGGGTACTCTGCTATGGGTTGAATTGTGTCCCCTCAAAAAAGGTCCCACTACCTCACAATGTGACCTTATTTGGAAATAGGGTCAGTGCACATGTAATTAGTTAAGATGGGGTCATAACTGGAGTAGGCTGGGCCCTTAATCCAATATGACTAGTGTCTTGAGAAGAAGATAGCCACGTGAAGACACAGAGACACAGGGAAAATGCCAGGTGAAGACAGAGGCAGAGATAGGAGTGATGCGTCTACAAACCAAGGAAGGCCAAGAATCATCAACCATCACCAGAATCCAGGAGAGTGGCATGGAACACATCCTTCCTTCACAGCCCTCAGAATCCCACTGACACCTTGATTTTGGACTTCAAGCCTCCAGAACTGTTATGCAATAAATTTCTATTGTTTCAAGCTACCCAGTTTGTAGTACTGTGTTACAGCAGCCCTAGGAAAGTAACACACACTCAACTTCCCTATCCCTATGAACAGCCAATTTTTCCTTTTCAGAGCTTTACAAACACTCTTGTCACCTAAGAATGTTATCTACACCTCCTTCCAACCCCACTACTTTGCCTGGCAAAGCTAAGACTTCTTTCCAATACCTCATACCTCTTCTTGGGTGAACATTTTCTGCTTTTCCTTTTGCCTCAGGAAGTTGACTACATTAACCCTCACTGGCCTATTTTAAATTGGACTTGCCCTGTATTATAATTATCAACTCTCCTTTAATATATTGAGATTTTTGAAAGCAGAGATCACATCTTACTCATTTTTGTGTATGAGTTAATGACATCTTAATTGACATACCTCACAGAAGATGCACAACATGGTGGACACACTTTGGAATGACTCTGGAGTGAAATAGATCAGATCTAGTTTAAAGTTCAGGCTCCACACCTTATCAGCTACTGGAATCCTGGGCAAATTGCATAACCTCTCTGAGCCTCAGTATCCTCATCTATAAAATGAGGTTAGTAATTTCTTTCTAATGGGTGATGAGAAATTGATGAGGTATCCTATGTGAATGTGCATACAAACATGGTAGGCCTCTAGTAAATGTGTACCTTTTTCAACATAAAATTACCAGTTTTTTTGTTGAACACATAGATAAGACTATGAAATACAAAGTCAGCATAAATATCTAGAAACAAAAGGCTGATTCTTACAAAATGTATTTTTTTAAATGAGACCTACTTCATTCAACAATTACTAACAGGATCACACTAAATAATTACAATCTTGTCATTTCG